TAATGACAGGTGGATGAATGTGCATCCATCCTCTCCACAAACCCACCATGGTAATGTTTTTTAGCCAACACAGGGATAGCGTGGGAAGGGTAGGGAGCTGGGGTCAGTACTGGAGGCAAGGAATAAATGTGAATATAACATGGGCTGTTCCCTCATACAGCTTACAATTATAGAGGGCAGAGGAAGGGCCAGAAAAATAATGACTGTATTGTGAGTATTCATTTGAATCTTTACAATGGCCTTCCAAGCTGGATTTTATCATGCGTGTGCAATAGAGAGAGAGATTAAATGAAAGTAATGGCCACTCCATTAGTAGGTTACCGTGTTGTACTGGAACTCGTGACTCCATGGTCCCTACATGTGACTACTTAAACTAATCCTGTTAAATACAGCCTTAGCTATTAGGCTACGTATTGGTCTAAGTGAGTTGGTACAGAAGTCCAGAGGAAAGGGAGGTAGATTCTGATCTCATGAAGGAAGCTTACGTGAGCAAAGCCTTGTACAAGCATTTAGTGGCCAGGAAAGGGGACAGAGAAAGGCTATACAGATAGCAGGAATGGCAGCAGTTACTGACCAGAAGCCACCAGAGAAAGCCTCCTATGAATGCCAGCTTCTCCCTCTGCCAGTTTTGTGACCTTTGGAGCCTGCCCAAGGTTTAGTTTCCTTACCTGTAAATGCAGCAGTAACAATCAAATTTCAGGTGGTTGTTATGAGGATTCAGTGAAATGATGTGTGAAGAGTAGTTAGTTCATTGCTTTTTAAGAGCTCAATGAATATGAGCTATTATTATGGCAGATATAGGCAAGAAAGGGTGCATCATGTTGTGATGTTTGTTTCCTGTTACATTAATTTTAGCTCAAAAGGAAGGAACCCTGTGGCCCACCTAGCGGTAGAGGAACACACGTGGCTGAGCACAGAGCTGCTGGCCCTGAGCACTGTAGGAAGTGCCTCAATCACAAATCTGAGGATGTTCAAGAGGGAGGAGCTTTGTTCTTTGTGTTCTAGCTCCCATGGTAGCCAGCCTGGGGCAGATGCTAAGAACACAAAAGTTTTAAAACTATCAAGTTGTGCTGTGAATTCCAAATCCCTCTAGTCAGCTGAGAGTCAAACTCAAAAAAACAAGAGATATTTTCATGTTCTGATGATTACCCTTCTGCTGTTTCTTTTTCTCCAGGGCGCTGCTCCAATCCTCCCAAATTGCCCCTGGCTTTTCTATATCTTCACCCTAGTCCTACTCACAAGTGGGTCCTTTCTTGAAGGTAGTCACATTTACCGTCAGTGAGCCCTTTTGGTGGCTTCTTCACTTCCTCCTTCAACTCTGAGATGGGACTGGATAGGAGAACAGCAGTTGGGGTTGGGTGGGGCCCAGGAATGATGGATGGAGAAGACTAAGAAGACACTGGAATATCTAATTGGTGGCTGAAGGCAGATGTCAAATGAAGGTATTAAACCAGAATCCAGGTGGAAATGGAAGCAGGTGCTTTGGCAGTAAATGAGGGCAGAAAAATGTTGGGCCAGAAGAGTATTGGGGCAGAGACTGGAAGCCATCACATCTCTTCACTTTTCTTGCTTGCTGGGTATTACATTTGCAAAGATCTGAGCAATGGGACCAAAATGTCTGCCCCATGGAGATTACAACTTGGTGGAGTGATCAGGCTGCATAGTTCATGAGGAAAGGACAATCTTCAAGGCCATTGTCAGAAAGTTATGAATTAGGGAAGGGGGAGGGGTTTGAGTGACTTCAGAGACAGTGGACACTGAATGCAGCCAGAGGAGTTGAAATATGAGACAAGAAAGAGTCAGGCACATTAGAAGGAGAAGGGCAGCTAGTAGAGGGAACACAAAAATACAGATCCTGAAATCAAGACAAAAATGGCATTGCCAAGGAACAACAAAAAGGTACAGTAGAGTTGTGTATCATTTTCTAATTTCCTGAGCCCATGTCCTAATTTTGGTGCATTGCCCCATTGACAAGAGACACAGCCTGTTTTTCCCAGAGAAAGAAGAAATGGGAAGATTCTTGCTCTCGTCCCTACTTAGCAGCTGGAGCTGAGCATATGGCTTAGGGCCTTCCAGCCAACTGAATGCTCTGGATGGGTCTTTGAGCTTTGAGTAAGTGATTCAAAGATGAATGGGTGGAAAGATTTGAATCTACACAGCCCATAGATGGTAAATGCAAATATAATGCAATAGTGTTGAAAACGTCTACATTTAGTAGATGGAATAGGAATGCCAGACACCTGTGATGGCTGGGGATGAGCAGGTTGAAACCAGAAAGTTACTCCCTCAAATCAGACCTGGTAGATATGGGCTCCATCCCCTTCCACTTACTGCTGGTTCTCTCTAACCCATCCTTTGGCTTAGGACTATGGCAATATAGACCTTCACTGCTAAATCTACCTGGACCACAGTTGTCTTTGTGCCTAGGGCATTCTGTGAATTAACTCCCTGTTGAGTTCCTTTGGTCATACATTTTGGCCAGCCTAGGGTGGAGCAAATCTGAGTAATTTTGCTGTAATAAAGGTGTTTTGGGGCTGGGGATTTAGCTCAATGGTTTCACTGCTGCCTGCTGCATAAGTGCAAGGACCAGAGTTCGATCCCCGGTACCAAAAAAAAAAAAAAAAAAGGTGTTTTGTCACAATTCAGCTTTCTTTTTTTTTCTAGTGCTTTTAAAATACTATTTTATAACTGACTTAAAAATGCCATTATTTGGTGCTAATGTTGGAACTTGGTTCCCATGTTTATGAACTGGCAGTCCTTCCATTAGACAGTAAGATAGTCTTTCCAGCGATGCACTCTTTCAGTACCCATAATTTCACTCATTGGGCTTTTAAAATGTGAATATTTACATATGTCTAAATCACTTATATATATTATAAGTGTAAACATTTGCTCCCTCACCAAGAACATATGCAGATGGTAAATAAGTTTATAAAAAGATGCTTCATATAATATATCATTAAGGAAATGTAAATTAAAATAATAATGGGATAACAGTACATACTTATTAGAGCAGCCAAATCTGTGACAACACCAAAGGCTGGCAAGGATGTGGAGCAACAGAAAACTCATTTGTTGCTGGTGGGAATGTAAAATGATAGATCCACTTTGGAAAAAGTGTGGCAGTTTCTTGTATTCTAAATATACTCTTACCATGTGATCTATAACCTACACTCCTTATTGAAGTAAACTGAAAAGTTATGCCCACATAAGAGCATATTTATGTTTATAGCAGTTTTATTCATAATTATCAAATGTTAGAAATAACCACAGTGCCTTTCTGAATGGGTAAGCACAGTGGTTCATCCAGAAAATGGAATATTATTCACCACTAAAATAATGAGCTATCCAACCATGGAGAAAGTTTAAGTGAAATTACTAAAAGCCAGTCTAAAAAAGTTACAAATATATAATTTCAACTACAAGGTGTGAACAGAAGCTATTGTTATGGGTTATATGTAGATATCCCTCCAAAACCTCATATACTCATAAGTAGGACTTTGGGAAGGTGGCAGGACCATGGGCATGTAATAACTGGATCACTCCCGCTGATTGGATTAGTATAGTTCTGGGTGTGGCTAATGGGAAGATCCATCCTGTGTGTGGTTAGCAGCAACCAATAGGTTTGTAGCCCTCATGGAATAAAAAGGGATAGTAAGACTGGCTGCTTCTGGTCTGCCACACCATGAACTATTTCTCCTCTGCCATGTAGCCCTGCCTTGGAGCCAGAACTAAAACAACTGTGTCAATGTTTTAAAAATTTTAAAAATTTATTACTATAAAAGACACATTGCTATTACTCCCCCCCAAAAAATCATCCCTTGATTTGAACATATTTGTGACATTGTTTTTGACTCTTTGAAGCAGTTATGAAAATTCTCTTTTGATTCTTTACAAAGAATGATAAAATCAGGGAATGCTGTTCTTGAGTGCCATCCAGCAGAAAGACAGACTTGTGAAAACAATATGGTATGTCCTCATTCATCCTATTTACTAGATCTAGCACCCTGAAATTTCTGGCTCTTCCCCAAAGTCAAAATGACCATGAAAGGTGAACATCTTGAATTGTCTGAGGAAATCAAGGCAGCCAAGACAGCATCACTAAAGACTCATGAAAAATGACTTCTAGACCTGCTTCAGAAAGGGATAAGAAGAATAAGAAGTGAGGGAGGAATGTTTTGAGGGAGATTGATGGCATTGTGTCTTTCACTGTAATATTTTTTAAAATTTTTAACTTAAATGTTCATTCAGTTTTTGATCACACCTCATATGTGGCATTCTGGAAAAGACAAAACTCTTATAGAGATTGTACAGAAAGGTCAATGGTTGCTAGCAGGCAGGGTGGATGAATGTGGGGTACAGGGATTCTTAGGGCTGTGAAAATGTTCTGTAAGATGTTACAATATTCAATGGAGCATAAAGAAAGATAACTTGAGTCATTTGTATGAAAATGGATGCACTTTGAGCTCATAATATTAAGTGAAATAAATCAGACACACAACCTTAAGTATTACATGTTTTCTGTTATATGAGAACTCAAAATATAAATAAAGAGCAGAAAGAAAAAAAAGTCAAGAGATCTTTCTCAAATGAGAAAGGCTTCAAGAGATGGATGGAGGGAAAGGGAATGAAAAAGGGAATTAAGATGTGTTATGTAGACGTGCCAACTCCCCACAGGGAATGTAAACATCATATATTATAAACATCTAATTTAAAAATTAAGGTATTACAGTGAGGGGTATATGCTCTTATAGGTTTGTCCAGATCCATAGAATATACAGTCGAGTGAACTTGATGTAAATTATGGAACTTGAGTAACAGTGTATCAAGGTAAGTTCAGCAGTCATAACAAATGTCAGAGGTGTCCATGGTTGCAAGAAAAATAAACTCTAAAAGCCCTTTAAAATTAACCTTTTTAAATACTTAAAATATGGTGTAGATAAAATTAATAAATATTAAAGAGAAATATGTTTTAAAATGCTATTGTGATTCTATCTTAGTTCTTTGGATTCAAAGCATCATCCAAAATGGCTGACTTCTGCTTATGTGAAGAGACCAGGTGGCCCAGAAGGAGTACTGGGGGTGCTGAGGTAAGGAGGGGTCTTTGGCAGACCATCCACGGGGATGTCATTTGATCCTTTCCAGATAAATAAGTAGCACTGTATTATTTTAAGAGTTGGTATAAAAGCAAATGTTTGTCCTCATAGTGCCCTTTTATTAGGGTTTTAAAGTTTGGGATACCATCCCCACTGTTGCAATAAGACAGCAGCTCAGGAAGTGATAGACACTATCATTTCCAATTATAACCACATTGTGCGTATTTAATGAGAACTGCCCTCCACACACGACCTTCACCTAGTAATTCTTATCAATGCCAGAAACCTGGCTCATTAATTAAAGCTGCGCTTGGACTGAGCTGCATTCGAAATGATAATTTGCTACAGGAAAACAAAAAAGGCCTAGTGAGGAAAAAGAATGCTTGAAAGGGCTTCTAGGAGATAATAGTACTGGTGCATCTGGTCATTTGAGGATTTTGAAGCTGCAGTCTGGCTCCCAAGGACTCAGAATCCTCAATTTCACATAAGACTTTTAATCATAATATACTGATGCCTAAAAAATATTCTGTAAACACAGGACAGACTGCATATCTTTGAAGCAAAGCTGATGAGTGAGTCTCATAGGGTTGAAAAGTGACGTTCTAGTAATATTACAAATTCCTACACCACTTTGTTAGGAATGATGGAGACTTCACCATTGGAGATCAAGGTCATACCATCAATAGGTAGTGAAATCACAGTTTGAACCCAGTTCTTTCTGACCTGATCATGTCAGTACAATGATAGCACTTCTTAAATGCTCAGAACAAAAAGTGTCCATGAGTAGGAGGCAGAGTTAGAGGCCATCATTGAAATTCTGAGGTTTTTAACCAATAGATGATGGTAAATGGAAGCAAATACTATAACTGTTAATACTACTATGACCAATTTTAAATGTAGGAAATATAAATAATCATATAATTTGTACTTAGTGGTTTTTTCATGAATAAGTTTATCAGAGTTTTCATAAGTTTATTCTCACCTCCTGTCCCCCATGAAATACTTCTTAAGGTTCTGAGTTGCACAGTGTGAGTTTTTCTCGCTTACAGTTTTTAGAAACTTAATGTTTGAAGTTGGGAAAAGTTTAATATTCCGGTGAAGAAAAAGGAGCCAGCCTCAACATCCAATAGCATTTAGTAACACTATTCTGAGAGATTTAGCCAAAAGTGGTTTTTTTTCCTCCTCAAATATCATCAGCAGGTTATTTCCGCTTTTCAGGATGCTATAATTGCATTTTTCTTTGGAAATGTCAAATCAAGCTTTGAATACAGTATAATTACTGTGCAGGAAAGAAGCTGAACAGGTGACAACTGGTGTTAGAAGGAGAGCTAGAAAGAACTTGAAGGGGTGGCTTTTCCCAGACAGTCAGACAGGCAGGCAGGTAGCAGGCTGGGAGCCTGCCTGGGCCTCAAGCAGGGCATAGAAGTGACTCGGGGATCAGGGACAGCAGTTACCTCAGGATTCCTTGAGTATGTGGATGGGGAGGGTACTGCATGTAGGCATCGCTTCAGCTATTCTCATGAAGTGAGCAGTGTTTGGGGCTACATGATAATCAAGAAAATGCTTCTAAGAATGCAAAGAGGAAGAACTGCCTTGTTGGGGCTGAGTTTGCACACACAGGTCCGGCTGCCCTTAGAACCTACAGCAACCACTTCTGGCTAAGGTTTTCTCAAAGAGTAGCTTTAGGGTACATAAAAAAGTCTCTAACGTCCATGCCATAGTGATTGCCTCATCCAGTTGATTTTCTTCATATGGCTTTGAAACTTGTTTTGACCAGTATGATCTCTATGGAATATTGTAAACCTACAGGCTTGTGTCATTTTTTAACAATAACAGTTTTATTGATATTAAATATGTATATATACACCATGCAACTCACTCATTTAAAGTGTACAATTCAGTGATTTTAGTGTATTCATAAAATTGTGCAAAGAGCAGCACTACCCAATTTCAAAACATTTCATCACTCCAGAAAGAAAATGTATATTTATTAGAAGTTAATTGCCATTTCCCTCTAACACCTCCTGCTTCAGCCATAGGCAACCACTAATTTACTTTCTGTCTCTACAGATCCTTTGCCCATGATTCCATTTACACAGCATGTGGCCTTTTGTTTCTAGCTTCTTTTCACTTTGCGTAAGATTTTGAAGGTTCGTATGTTTTAATATATACTACTTCATTTAAAAACTTACTGAACAGTATTTCATTGTATAAATAAAAGGTTTTATGTCTATCAGTTGATAGATACCTGGGTTGTTCTTTTTTGGGACCATTATGAAAAATGCTGCTGAGGAGAGCAGGGTAAAAGTTTTTGTGTGGACACGTGTTTCCATTTTTCCTTGAGTATAGAACCAAGAGGTAGGATTTCTGGCTCATCCAATAGCTTTGTGTCTATCCTTTTGAAGAACTGTTGGACTGTTTTCCACACAGCTGCACCACTTTGTGTTTTTAGCATAGTGTATGACAGTACTGACTTCTCTACATCCTGGTCAACACATTATTATGGGTCCTTTTTTACTGTAGCCATCCAGGTCGTTGTCATATGGTATTCACGGTGGTTTTGTAATTAATTGCATTTGATTTGGATTTTCCTGATGACTAATAATATTGGGCTACTTTTTCTGTGCTTATGGCCCTGTTGTATGTCTTCTTGGGAAGAATATTAAAATTTTTTGCTCATTTAAAAATTGGATAGTTTATCTTTTTGTCATTGAGTTGTGAGTTTCTTATATATTCTGGATACAGTCTCCTTATCACATCTATAATTTACAGATATTTTCTCCAACCTTGTGAGTTGTCTTTGCATCTTTTTTATAGTGTTCTCAGGTGCACAAATAAATTTAATGTTGATGAAATCTAATTTACCTATTTTCTATTGTTGTGCTTTTGGGTTCATACCTGAGAAAACATTGCTAAGCCAAAATTATGGTGATTTTTGTCTATGTTTTCCTTTAAGACTATTACAATTTTAGTTCTTAATGGGAGGTGTTTGCTACATTTTGAGTTAATCTTTCTATATGCTGTGAGTGGGGGCCCAAGTTTATTCCTTGTACGTGGATATTCAATTCCCCCAGTACCATATGTTGAAGACTATTCTTTTGTGATCAAATGGTTTTAGAACCTTTGTAGAAAAGTCAATAGACTTTGTATATACAGGTTTATTTTTGAACTCTTAATTCTGTTCCATTCATCTATACGTCTATCCTGCTGATACCATACTGTTTTGATTATTACAGTTTTATAGTAACTCTTGGAATCAAGAAGTACAAATACACCAACTTTGGTCTCTTTCAAGGTTATTTTGGCCAGTTTTGCATTTCCATATGAATTTTAGAAACAGCTTCTCATTTCTTTAAATCAGCTGAGGCTTTGAAAGAGTATAAAATTTGTACCTCTTGTTTATTTCTAAGTATTATTTGATTCTACTGTAAATAGCATTATTTTATTAATATTATTTTTAAATTTTGTTTCTTGCTACCTGATTGGCTCATCTGACTCTGAGGACAGCCATGCTTTCAAGTTCTCTATTTGACTCCAATATGGGAAATGAAGGGTTAGTTTTATTTCTTTTTTTTTTTTTTTGGTACTGGGGATCAAACTTGGGTCCTTGCGCTTGTGCAGCAGGCGGTGAAACCACTGAGCTAAATCCCCGGCCCCAGGGTTAGTTTTATTTCAATGGTATTGGTTTCCAGTCATGAGCATGGTATGTCCTTCTACTTATTTGGATTACTAATTTCTCTAAACACTATTTTGTGGTGTTTGGAATATAAATTGTACCCTTTATTAAATTTATTCATAAGCATTCTTTTTTGTTGCTATTGTAAATAACATTATTTTCTTTGTATTACTTTTTATTTCCCCATACTAATATAGAAGTACAATCTGTTTTTGTATATCAATCTTGTATTCTGGAAACTTGTTCAACTCATTCTGATTTTTTGTAGTGGATCCTTTAAATTTTTTCTATATACACAATCATGTCATCTGTAAAAGACATAACTTTACATCTTCCTTTTCAATCTGTATACTTTTTCTTTATTACCCAGTTACCTTGGCTAGAAATGACACAACAGTGTTAAATAGAGATCATGAGAGCACACGTCTCCATTCTTGATCTCAGGAAGAAAGTCTGTCTTATGTAACATCATTTTCTGATATAATGCTCTTAAGTATGGAATCAGCTGTAGGCTTTTTGTAGGTACCCTTTTTCAGGTTCAGAAATTTCCTTTATATTTCCAGTTTTCTGAGAATTTGTATTATAGTGGAATGTTAAATCTTTTATTCTGGATTTGTCGAGATCATTGTGATTTGTAATATTTTTCTTTTGATATAGTATATTATGTTAATTTATTTTTGGATGTACCTTTTGCTACATTAATAAGATATGAGAAATATGGAGAGGAAAACTCAATGGTGGCATCATCAATGGCATTTTCTAGAAGAATTTTGGGTAATTAGTATAGATATTATCTAGAAATTATTGTTAGGAAGATACTGTTACATCCATTTAAAGTTAAAAAAACATGATTTTAAAAAGGAAATATTATGTACAACAGGCTTTTTTCTTTGAGGATTCTTTTAAGTTAGACCACTTGATGTAGGAAAGTTTAAATTTAATTTACATTAGCAATGATGTAGCTTCCCTATCAGACTTTCTCTTTATCTTTAACAAGGTTTAAATAAATAAAAATGGTACTAACTTGAAGCTGGGCTCATATCTGTATAATTCAGTCACCCTATAGAGACAAAAGTGCATATAAAGAGCTAGTTCGGGCCTTCTTAGTATATGTATATCCATTCACTTATTTTATTTGGTTACTTAATCGTCAATTATTTATTCAATAGGTAATGAATTTGATTTGGAGATCTAGCAACGATTCTCATGTTTGCAACTTCAGCTTCTTGCTATAAGACATTTAATACATGGCATTATAACTGACTGAATAACTGCTCATATATCCCGTACCCTATGATATGTTCTAAAATGAGAAATG